GAAATTGGTGACACAAACACAAAGACATTATCATTAAATATTTAACACTTAAGAGATATAAATGTAAAAAAGAAAAAAAGAGATTATTTTGGAAAAATAATGAATTGTCCATTTTTCAATAATAGTAAAAACAAATTTTAATCCTCACTGATAAGGAATTAAGTATTTTCTGAGTTATTTACAAATGGAAAGATTTATTTTTCTCTCAACAACGACCGTTTGTTTCGTGTGAATCTAAGATTCTCGTGAGACGGGCATCTGGATTCCCACGTTTGTTTTGTGATAATGTAAGACCCGCGTATCCTAAGATGCCTATTTGGAAGGCATCCGAGTCGATTTGGATGCTCTTTTGAAACATGGGTTTCACATTTTTACCCTTTCGTTATTTTTTCATATATTTTTTATGTAAAAAAAAACTTCAATTAAACTATATAATATCTTCATTTACTTTTAATATTTGAAATGAATTATCAGGATCAATATCTATTATCTTAAATACATCATTTTAAAGCAACATTTTCTTAATGATCAGCTTACCTTTGATTTTTTTATTTTTAAAAGAATATAATTTGATAATATAATAAATGAATTTTACCCCATATAACATTAATTATATAATTGTATTTTTTAAAAAAATATTAAAGTTGAAAATGAAATATATATTCAATATTAATTAYTTTTTAAAAAGTCTTATATTAATATGAATTCTACCCGAAAAGTGATAACATACAAAAATCAATATATTATATGGAATTAATATAAAAAACCTAAAATATTAAATTAATTTTAAGAAAATCTATTATATAAATGTAAATTATATTATATTAATATATAAATTATATGAATATTTGTTAGGGCATTTTTGGAACATTATTTAAATTTAGAATATTCYCATGAATAAATCCTGCCAAACAAACGTGGTTATCCAGATATTCTCGGACATATTTATATATTTTYCTACGAAACAAACGTGGCTATCTAAAAATGTCGAAAATCTMAAATTCTAGACATCTAAAATTTCAGGTATGTGAAGACATGTCGCACATCTGCATCCCAAAAAAAACAATGGCCCGTTAAATCTTATTTTTCTTCTTTTAATCGTGCAATTGACGTGCGTTAATTATTATTTCCTACCATTCATTTTAATTTGGGAAATATGCGTTTTCAATCACCACCACTGCTCTCCCCCAAATTTGGTTYCTAACCAACAATTGCTTTACACGTCATATACATAATACTATGCGCATGGTAGGATAATGACGTGTGAATCTAAGAGAATGTTGTTGAAGACGACGTCGTTTTCGGTAAATTTAGTAGCGATTAGTGACTGGGATTAAGATTTAATTATTAATCAATAAAAAGAAATGTGGAAATAGGACAGGACAAGCGTGAACGAGAATGACAGAAGCAGACGAATCCAGGTTTAGAGATCGTAATGCAATTTAATTGGACCCCACGGCCGGACACATCATCTTAATAAAATATCAGAAAGGTCCCACGTGGCGACTGCTGATTCGATCGGAGATTCTTTCGTTACGACCTTTGCAAAACTATAGATTGCATCACAATCACTAATGATATCAGTTCTCTTTTCTTTTTTCTTTTTTTTTTTAGTACTAATGATATCAGCTATCACTTACCTATTATTTTAATCCCTGTTGGACAAAACACACCACTAAAGTTGCGTTACTTTAATTTTTTTAATAAATAAAAAAGTTCTGTTCAAATAATTTGCTCTTGCTCGGTATATTATTCAAGTTTAACCCAACATCATCCACCCATCAAAATAAGAATAAAAATAAGGACATTATTGAGACTTTGCTAAAATATATATACATATATATATATTAAAGAGTTGTCAAAATTTTAGTGAGTTCTAGAATACGAAAGAGTAAAAACAACATTTATTTAATTAATTGAGCGAACCAATTARATCTTAATCATTTTATTTTTAAAATTAATTTCATCTCTATTTTTCTTTATTTTGTTATCCACTTTTAGTAACATTTTAATTTAAAATCAAATCAAATTTTGGAAAACTAACAAGTCAAATATAGTTTTTAAGAACTTTTTATGCTTTAAATTTAGTTAAGAATTTAAAGGTGATTTTAAAAAGGTAAAAAGCGTAATAAAGAAAATTTGAATAACAACACATCATTTTAAAAAATTTTAGAAAATTAGTAACAAAATTGTTATCAAAGCAGCCTTATCAAATTGTTTAATTTTTTATTCACGTTCCAACACTTATGTTCATTTATTGGCTTGAAAATAAAAAAATGAAAAGGAAATAACGTTACGATACAAATAAAAAGCCTTCTTTTCATTGGATCCAAAAAGTATAAGTTAATAAATTATATTTTTAACAATAAACTGGAAGGGATGAGCGGGAGTTAATCTAGACCTTTTTTCCCTTTAAAAAAAGTACAGTGGTTCAATTGTGACTCTTTTTTTTTTTTTTTGATAATTTTGTAAAAACGAAGAAAAATAGTAAGTAATAATAACAATAGAATTAGATGTCATGTTTTCTACCAACTCAAAAGTAAAGTGAGGAGAGGATCGGAGGGTGACGACAGTACTAGGAGGAGGGAGGAGGGAGGTCGTCTCACAACTAATAAGAAAAATATAGTTATTTTCAAATATATTAAGAAAGTAATGTATTAATTTTTATTAAAAAAACAGAAAATATTTTAAAAGAAGCAAGAACTTTGATCAAAGACATTTCTTAAGAATATGTTTTGATTGTTTTAACAAAGGGAAAAAAAAGATATGTTATGTGATTACTTAATATATATCTTTAATGTTATGTGTGGGATAAAAGGGAAGTTGGGCAACTGCAGTGCACACTCATTGGGGAGCTAAAAAAGCGCTTTACCCACTAATTATTGCCCTCCGCTTTTTCATTACAAATTTCACTACTCTAATTCATGTTTAAACCAAATATATAGATATTGTAACACGTTAGTTAAAAAAAAAAAAACTATCCTAATTCAGATTTTCTTTTTCTTTTTTATTCTTTTTAATTTTGAAATTTAATTAAAGTTTTTAAGATTATCCACCCTTAAATATGTTAGGAAATAATAGAAGCAAACTATTTTAAATAACTTAATTAAAAAAATAGACATAAAAAATTGCTATAAGTATAGAAATGGGCACAAATGTTATCTTTTCGATTATTTTTCCTCTTTGCTAATTTTGGTGTACACCAAATGAGCCTAATTTATGTGTGTTAGCGTTTTTCTTTTTTTATTTTTTTATTTCAAGTATATTTTTAAGATTTTGTTTCTACTTTTAGATTAAGAGATCAAAGGCATTAGGGAAGAAATATTAGACAAAACTGAGGTCATCCACCGAAAGCCTACATCCGTTGCGCCCTTTTAGATAAGTACATTACTAATGTTCAAGTCTACATTTTGTAAATAGTAATTCAAAGTTTTCTTGAGAATAATGGGAGAATTAAATGTCCAAGTATAAGATCATACGAATATTTCATAGTAGTAATTATTGATATTAGAGATTAGAGAATGTTACCGTATGTTCATGAAAGTAAAATAATATTTTAATTTAAATATTATTTTGGTCTATGGATTTTTAATTTTGACTTTTTTTTTTTTTCTGTTCTTATACTTGCAAAATGTTTCTTTTTTTTAGACACTACTTGTAAAATGTTTCTATTTGTCTATGTACTTTCAACTTTTATTCATTTTAGTCATTATATTTTCAAAACGATATAACGAAAATTGGTCGCAAGTATTGGGACCAAAATAAACGTTTTAAAAATATACAATGACCAAAATGAACAAAAGTCAAAAGTACGTGGATTAAAATAATATTTAAACCTAACCAATATTTTAAGATTTTTTTTGTCGGGGATTATTAATTTTTTGTGCTATTTATCTATGAATTTTGCATTTTTGCAATGCTAATCAATAAATCATATAACAAATAATTCTGTCACCATTACATAATTTAGTTTGGAGTTTAGAAAATATAAAAGAGATAGAATTAACCATTCTTAAATGTTTCAAACTTATTTTGAGAAAGATGAAAAGACAAGATACTCTTCCCTTAAACAAGAGAATAAAAGATGCCTAAGCATATTTTAATTCTTTTCCTTTAAAGTAAGGTAGAAGGGTAAAGAATACGATACTATAACTCTTACACACGAGAGAATAAAGATATCTACGTATAGTTCCAATTCGATTCTCCTAGATAAAAAGACGAAAACGAACAAAATAATTCAAATTCCTGATAACCTCCATAATTTTAGCTTATAGTTTAATAGAGCATCACTTTGAATGAAAATAAAAAAAAAAAATCCCCGCATTTAATTGCAACTTGCACTACAAATTGTATTACTATTTTTGAAATATGTTTTGAATTTTAAATAGTTTTTTTTAGTATTGAATTTTATATATTTATTCTGGAATTAAAATACTTTTAATCTTAAAAGTACAATAAAGTTTAAATTTTTGTCCATTGTTTTATTAAGATCAACCATTTAAATTTAAATTTTTGAAAAAAAAAAGTGAAAAATCTCCTTTAAAAATTGCTTCGCCAGAAAGAAATTAGTTCTTTCATGGTGTCAATTGAAACGTAATCGTCTTTAATTTTTACAAAAAAAGATTTATGTTACAAAATTCAAAAGAATTGAATGATTACATTGACTCGTATATTAAATAATGAAGTTTATTTTCTTTAACATTAATTAATTTCACTGTCGAAGTCAATTTTTTTTTTTATTTCACTGCTTTCGAAATTGTTTTTCCATTCCATCATTTTATAAAATCGTTGGAAGCTGTCTTTTAAATGATTAAACTACACTCAAATAAAAAAAAAAAAACAAAAGGAAAATAGGAGATGAACTATTAATTTTGTTCTCTAGAAACAGAGATTGAGAATAGTAAACACAAAATCCAGAGTCCAGACAAATTTTCCAATGTAACTAGAAATTTCTATAATATGCACCTTATATTTTGTCAAAAACTAACCTCAATTTATTGCAATAAACATCTCATTGGTGGCGGTTGATGCGTGAATTATACTCTCCCGATTCCTTCCCAGATTCGTACCAAACTTGATAATCAGGGAGCAGAGAGCCTGCAAAACCAATCAAACCTAAACTGATGTGACTCGTGTGACTCCAATGTCTAAGTTAGTAAGGAGAGTAGATGGATAATGGAGTTAGAGTGTAGAGGGTAAGGTGTTTTGGCTTACCTCTAGGTTTTGGCTCCCCCTTTCCTTTTAGAAGTCGAATTCTCATACATCTCAATATTCAGGTCTGCTCGTTCGTTGTGAGCTTTAGGTCAAATYGAGAATCAAGGCGGGATACTTCGAGTGGGATTGTGAAACGGTCGGGATGAACCGCTATAGTTCTCGGCCCCCGACGGCGAGGCTTGGTCGGTACCGAGCACTGCACGACGGCAACCACTGGTCGGCCAGAGGTCGGCCCAAGTGTCGGGTGCTGGCCCTCCTTTCCTGGTTCGTGTCTTCTCTCGGGTTTCCTCCGACCCCATCGCTTGGTTTATTCTTCTTTTATCTCCCCATAAGAGTGGCGAATTAAAAAAATTTATGTCTGTGATATAATTTACAAATATAATTTATATATTTTCATATTAAGTTGGATAAAATACAAACTTGGTCCTTAAACTTTCATATCTAATAGATTACTGAATTTTAAAGAGTGTCAAATTTTCGATTTTGTGTCTAATAAATCTTGGAACTTTAAAAATAGTCTAATGAGTTGTAGGRGTGTTCAAGGAACCCGACAACCCGAAGAACCCAACCCAACCCATAAGGATTGGGTTGGGTCGGGTCTCGGATTGACCCTTGAAAATCTCGGGTCAACCCGACCCGACCCGAGATTATAAGRTTTCTTTTTCTTTTTCATTTCATTAAATCTAAACCATTGATTTTAGGTTTCAATTCAATCCTCCCCTTTTGAATCTTTGATTCTCTCTCTATTCTAACATTTTCAATTTCATCTTCCTCTCCCCCATCTCTCTCTAAATAAGGTGTAAGCTTTTAATATCGTTGAATTAGGGCTTACATGTTGGTTTCAATTTGGATTTGGACTTGATAAACTTTGGATAATGTAAAATTTTAAAATTTGTATTAAATTATGACTTACATGTTGGTTTTAATTAGGATTTGAATTTGTGCTTAAATTAATATTTTGATTTTTCTATATTTTTTTGTCCATGTTATAAACAAAACAAAAGTAAATTAATTAATCAATTAAAAAAAAAAGAACCCGGCGACCCAAACCAAATTTATTGGGTTGGGTTGGCCATCGTTTTACAACCCGACGGTTCCCACAAATTCCCAACCCGAAATTTGGGGTTGGTCCCAAAAATACCCCCAACCCGACCCAACCCAATCCGTGAACACCCCTGCATTGAGTTGRAGATATATTAGACATAGAATTAAAAATTTGGAAACCAATTAAACTAAAAATTAAAAATTTTAAGATTAATTAGACATTTTTCTAAATTTTATAACGATATAAGTTTAGAAAAAGGAGAATGAGATTTGTAGAAATTAAGATAACTATTTTTCTAGATAGATTTAAATAATTAAAAAAGAAAGATCTATAATTTCATTCAAAGTTGGGGGATCCGTGGGCCTACTTAGATACGCCGCTGCCTCCTATCATAATTCGTAGTTTTAGAATGGGTAATTTCGTCGACCCAACATAGTTTGTTTCATGATGGAGCAAACCCAAGATTTGCTCATCCCCCATAGCCGATTTCCTCAGTATAGTTTGTAAGTTTTGCCRTTCAACCTTCTCCAAAATCTGCAGATGTTCATGCCTTCGTATTCGGGATCAATTTCATTTCTTAATAATACCATTCTATTTTCCTGGGCTACCTTTGCTTCTCTGCCTCCGGAAAATCGGATCCCCAACTCGCTACGTGAGTCCGATCGCATATCTACTCTTCTTTCGTATGCAAAATGGCTGTATTCTCTACCTTCTCCTTGATTCTTTTTCTAATTTGGGTCTTTACTACATTTTCTGCTTATCCTCTGCTTTACATTACATTCTTCTATCACTTTCAAATGTTTTTCTCCCTGAAACTTCGTTTTTCAGCTGTTTCTCTTTCTGGCGTGTGTGACACTGCAATTCCCGATAGCAATGCGAACCCGTGTCCAGATTTTTTCTAATTACATGATTTTCATTTGACGTTAACTCTGATATGATATCAATTCCAGTATTTGATTATTTGTATTCTGGGTTAGCAGCATGACTTCTTCCGGGCTTCACGAGTTTAATGGAGCATTCCAACTTTATAATCATCCCAGTGATTCAAATCCTCTTAAGGTCTATATGAACTCTCTACCCTTTATCCGAAAGGTTGCTTTTGATGTTCGGTTGTTTGGAAGAGGGATTTGTGGTATCAGAAAATGCAGTCATTCTATTATTTCTGCAACCCCACAGGCTTCAATCATGGACCATGTTGCACATAATTCACATTTGAGTAGCGATGATTCGAAGATGCCATCAAGTAAGTCTGATCACATATCATATCACGAACAGTGGCTTCTAATCTTTTACTGGAGCGCCTAGGAGACTGCATTTCTTTGTAATGTCAATACACTTTTGTCTTTTAAGTTGAAACAGCTCTGATACTAATGCGACACGGCGAGTCAATGTGGAATGAGAAGAATTTATTCACTGGCTCTGTTGATGTGCCTTTAACAAGGAGAGGTGTAGAGGAAGCAGTTGAAGCTGGTAAGAGGATTAGCAACATACCTATAGATGTTGTCTATACTTCGGCATTAATTCGTGCACAGATGACAGCTGTGCTTGCTTTGACTCAACATCGCTGCAAAAAGGTATATTGTGTCATGTTTTTTGGTTCTCGCATCTTGAAAATTGGATAGGTTTTGATTAGCTTCTAGACTTGTAGTCCTAACTTTGATGAATTCAGAACTCCATACTAGTTGCTCAAGATGGTAATAAGTTTGTAAAAGAGGAGGGAGCATCTGAAAATTCCTTTCCTCACCCAAAAATTGGATSAGAAGACTTTGCTGTTTAGGATACAGAGTTCAAACTAATATTTATAGTGGAAGAAAACTATATAATGACTCTTGGGAGATTAATACAAGTTTGTTTTAAAGCATATGGTAGGTAAAAACTATTATTTCTTCAAATCAAAAGAAATATTGGTAATAATAAACTTCACCCCAAAAGCTGAATTAGAGTTTTGATTAGTATTTTTTTAACATTCCATAATTTACAGGCAAGAGATGTTTCAAATTTAGACCAACTTATGATTTCAGGTGCCTATCATTATGCATAATCGTAATAAACAGGCAGAGACATGGAGTCAAATTTACAGTGATGAGGCTAAAAAGCATTCATTTCCGATTATTAGAGCTTGGCAATTGAATGAAAGAATGTACTTTCTCTTTTCATGCTGATCTACACAATTCTTCTACCTGAACACAAGATTAGTTATTTTGATGCACGATAATATAGGTATGGTGGGCTACAAGGACTGAATAAACAGGAGATAGCCGAAAGATACGGTAAAGAGCAAGTGCGTGAATGGCGCCGGAGTTACGATATTCCTCCTCCTGAGGGTGAGAGCTTGCAAATGTGCTCAGAAAGGGCAGTTGGATATTTTAAAGAACATGTAAGCAGTTTCGTACTCTTGGTCCAATTATCTGAATTGGCATAGATTCTCACAMGGCTGAAGGAATTGCAGATTGAACCACAGCTGCAATCTGGGAAGCATGTTATGGTTGCAGCCCATGCTAACTCACTAAGGACTATTATCACGTATCTAGAAAAATTGACTTCTCGTGAGGTAGAAACCGCATTATCCTACATGTTTTTCATCAGTGTTCTTGTCGTTAGATTCTGGCAATGTAGCTAATAGATGAACGGTGATTTACTGTTTCTGGGACGTAGTTAATTGGCTTGGAATTATCAACTGGGGTGCCATTGCTTTACATATACAAGGAGGGAATGTATATGAAACGAGGGAGTCCCATTGGTCCTGGCGAAGCTAGTGTTTATGCATTAACCAGGGTAAGGCGATTCTTCTACCTTTCCATGACCTCATGTGTTTTAATCACTGATATCTTGATATTTACTCGTACAACCCCAAGAGTCGTTTCAATTATTGGCTTATTGCTTTCTTGCTCATTTATTCGGAGTAATGAAAATGGAGGAAAGAACAAGCCGTTGCTGCTTTGGTCTCTGAGGGGGAAAATGTCCATAGCATAATTAGGGTCATTGATCAAATGTTGACATTGATAGCATAGAAGTTCAGTGATTAGTGGTTAAAATAGAACAGAATTCAGACCATATACGGAAAATTTCGAAACCTCAAACTGACTTTGTATTGATCTGCAATGCAAATGTTCATCTGCAATTGGCTGACATTTCTGTTCTCAGACTCTTAAGATTGCTGCAAGACAATAATGGATTTGATCCTAATACGAAACCTGCATTCCTATATCCAAATGAGTCCTTAACTGATCGAGAAGTTTATCCTTAACCATCTTGGTCTTGGCTTGGGTGTCAACCTTAATCAATTATAGAAGGAATAAGCAGAGAACTGCTAATTTTTCTCTGCTATATTTTGTGCAGAATTTAGCACTTTACAGGCAAAAGTTGGACGAGATGTCAAGCTGAACTTTTTGGAATTCGGGTATGAAGGTTTTGACTTGTTATATTATGACTATACTGATCAAGTGTGATTTTTCCGAAGGCTTAAATTAAACAAAATTACTGCTTATTTATTATTTCAAATGAACTAGGAAACTGGTCGAATTACAGACACTTGCTTCTTGTTATTCTTAAACTACTAGACCGTTTAAACTAATTAATTACGCATTATTTGTTGCTTGTAAATGGTTCAATGGGATAGTGTGATCTCTGTTAAATTCCTCAGTGATGTTGTTGGAGGTTATCTGCAGCTGGTTCAATCACTTGCTGAAAAGACAGGGAGAGGATGAAGAGGAAATACTTCTCACTCAGAAGCCAGAAGCCATAGATATAAATTTCTATTGTTTTAGAATGCAAGGTCATAATCTATTGGAACTTCGYGCGCATGATTGTAATTGTTCACTTCTATTATGAAGCAGATTAATCAAAGTATGATTGTTAAGTTTCTAGTAGTATTTGCCTTCTTTTTTTTTTTTAAATTATAGTTTAGACAAGCTACTAAACTACCTCTAGATTATGTGATTGAGATTTTGTTGAATACAATTATGTGATTGATTACAAAACATTGTTGAATTTATTGACAATGTTAAATTGTTTAAATCGGCCAAGTTAAAAATAAAAACTATCACACTTATTATTGTTTATAAAAAACTAGTAAACTAGCTTCGATGAATTATACGCTGGTTAGTACTTAGTTCAACATTTTAATGAATTAACGTGTTCGAAAATAGTTCAATTATTAATTTCAATTAATTGAGATAGACAAAGTAGTCATCATTGATGGCTCAATTGATAATGTCGAGTAAATTTGAACATCTTTAATTCGCTCTAGAAGGAAAAATGCTGATGATCAGACATTTGATGAATACTGTAAGTAGTAATGTTTAGTAATGATTTTGTAGCAACTGAAATTTATTTTATTAATTGAGTCTTCACGTAAGGATCGTCAATTTATGATATTTCCATGCTATAACATTGAAGGAGAAAGAACAAACTTTCTTTTTTTTTTTTGTCTTTTGTTTTTTTTGTTTAGTACGACAAGGACAATTTAAAAGTATTTAAGAGCAGATACAAGTTCATACAATTTTATCATTCATCATATTAAATATTCCCAAAATATGTGTCTTCCTTAAAACACAATTTGGCATGTTCTTTAATGAAAAATATATATGTAAGAATTGATGAGATGCGGATGACAAGGACTTTGTGCTATGAACT